GATGAGGACCCCTATTTCTTCTTATAGGCGGCATACACGGTGCGTCTGACTCATGAGGCATTTGTGTACGTGCGTGTTGACTCGCTTTTCGACTACACATAGTTGAGTTATTCATAGTCATGGCGGAGACATATCGGTGTAACTAACACATATTTGTTTTCACAAACACATCCCATCCGACTCGCGAGTTAGTCGCACCGTGTATGCCGCCTATTATAATTGAAATTTGAACAAGCAAGAGGTATATTGGTACAATAATTATGGGTTGTGTCCAAGCGTGTAACCCGAGTCAAAAAATGTTGATATGTACGTGAGATCAAACGATAAAACGTTAGTTTAAACTAGAGATTTAAAATTTGTTACACAAATTTATTAATAAGTGCGGTTTGAACTACATTTTTTTTTGTTAAAAAAAATAATGTGGTTGTTGTTGTTGTTGTTGTTGAAGCGGCTACTGTGGTCAGCGCAGCCGGTGTTGGGACTGATGAGGGTTATTTTTTCTTCTTATAAAGTTTCGACTGTTCTCTTTCTAATGGATGGTGTTTTATGTGCCACACCGCTCCGCCTCCCCACCCCAAAACCAAGGCACCAATAAAAAAATTCCCCCTTTTTTTTTGGGTGAGTGCTAATACTCAATAGTTGATAATTGTAGTTCTAGTTTGCATACTAACAGTAAATCATCAATTTTTTCACACCCCCTCTAATATTGAACTGTAAAATATATTTATTTTTACCCAAAGGAACAACGATATAATCAAAATATACTAGAAATGGATAATACTCACTTCTCTGAAGGTCAAGGGGCCCATGGGCCCCAAAGTAGATGCCAATTTCAAGTTACTCGAAAGACATGCAGTTAAATGGACAAAGGACAATGTGTATTAAATGACACATCGAAAAGTGTAATTTCAGTATCTGAATTATATCAGAAACCAACGTATCCGATATAGAAAACTGTAATAGTGCTGGTAGCTGCATTGCGAAACAATCAGATGACATAAGGACACTAAAAATTTTCTTAAATATGTATGTATGTTCACTAAAATTTTATTTATCTAAAAATACCAAAATCTTTATTTTGCTCAAGTGCTTACGATAAAATAATAATGATTTTTAAAATTTAATGTTAATGCAACCATTCTAATTATAATCCCAAATTTATGATAATATATGTATAAGTACATAAAATCCCCTCCACCAAAAGACTTAAATTGATTAACGCCTGATTTTTAATCAAACATATGTATGTTTATTGAACTACCTTCCTTTTGTATCATGGATTGAACCTTTATTTTAAATTAAAATTATTTGAAATAAACAAACATATCTACATATGTTACGAACAATATCGTTTGGAATGTTGTTTATTGGCAGCAAGTTTACATATATGCTATAAAATATAGTCTCTTCCAGGTACTTCGGGATTAGCAGGTTTTTACAGCAAGTTGTTCCCCGTCGCCAGCTTCCAAATGGTTTATTAACGACGAAAACAGCTTTTCCTGTAAAACCTGCAAGTCTTGAAATACCTGGAACAAGGTTTTAGTTAACTTACCTAGGATCCACATCAATAAATGTCCTTCAATCAAAAGCTACCAATAGCACAGGAATCCATACCCGTTCACTCGATGTCAATAGAAAATGTACTTTTATTCAAACATAAGGAAATGTATAGTATCTATTTATCTGCTTTTATGAAATTGCGCCATTCAAAGAGCCGAACATTGTTTTAAACTTTCTCTAAAAGGGATGTGTTAAATGAATTTTGAAGTTAAATGCTACCAATATCTACCTAATAAAAATAACAAAATATTAGAAGACAAAGTCTTTAGAAGAAATACTTGAATATCTGCCCAAAGATGGCATTACATATGTAGGTATCTAAATGCCGGTGCGTTTTGCGGCGTCAGAAATTAGCAATTCTCAAGTCCTGCTGAAACTTTGTGTGTAGAAGCAGACAAGCCAACAATAAAGCGGGAATAGTGTGGTTCGAAACAACAAAAACAAAAATGAACAGCAAAGACCTTCTCCAGCGACTAATGGCACAGTTATGCTTACTTGGCATTGCATGAGAGTTGTCAAAATGGAATTTTTTAAATGAGCTTTACGTGAAGCGGTTACCCAACGCACAGCGTTACATTCACTTTGTTGTGGCATGCTATGCAGTGCAGTGAGCCATTACCCAACGTACAGCATTTCTACGTAAAAATGATATGCTATGCAGTGCAGTGCAAAGTATGCATAACTGAGTTATAATTCGCAAAATATACATAAACATGTATGTACGAACATGGAAAATGTATGTACAAATGTACTACATATGTATACCGAGAGGGCAGAAAAGCATTAAAAGTGGGAGTAATGCAAAGAAATGAGCCAAAGGACATCGACAAACGCACACGCATAAAAACGTATAGCAGAAACAAAGTTATGGCCGCTGCAACGGTGGATGTTGTCTGCAAAAGCGCAAATGAGCAGGCGGTGGCTTTTTTTTGTGTTCAGTTAACTGACTGGCTACATTGGAATTGTTTTCTCTTGGTGAGTTTCTTGTTTTCAGGGCTAAACTATTGAAAACAGATTTGCATTTATTTATGTTTTAACCGGGGCGAAAGTCCAATTTAACTCTTTTTAATTACTTTTTCGTAAATAGAATTTATGTAAAATTTTGCACCACTAAAAAGGGGCGAGACCACACAAACACTTTTTTCAATTCTTTTATTTATCTTTTCGTTTTTTTTTTTTAACTTTATACTGCGTTTTCATAGCTTTCACACTGCATTGCTGCAAGCACCAACTTTTTTCTCACTCGGAATTTTCATACAATCAAAAGCGAAAATTTACCTTACGCAAATATTTTGCATTTTCTGCGTCGAAAATTAATACAATTTATATTTTTAAAGCACTTTTCCCCAATAATTTTCAATTAGAAAGAGCAACTTTTCAAGTTTCCGCTATCCACCAACACAAAACGGGAAAATTTTTCACGCACCACACAAACCGCACACAGAGACTGAGCAAAACAGTGTTGCCAGTTATCCTCTTTGCGCAATTGCTGCCAGTTGACAGTGGCTGTCAATGGTGATGCCACCCATTTGTTATTTAGTAAAAACTTAAAATGATTAAAATAAAATTGCGAAGCATTTGTTTCAATTATCCAACTTTAAAAGAATTATAATAAATTTTGTTCGAGATACTAATGTAATAGTATGTAGCTTTAAAACGATATTTCTGCAAGTTGCATGTGAGTGCTACCGCATGATGCTGGAGGGGTGTGTTCAGTGGCATTGGTCTTTGTGCAACTCTGGAAAAGGAAATTACAGTGTTGTAATTAGGCCAGTCAGCCGGGTTTCGCAATTCACTTCCGAGGGAATTTCAATCAAATTTGCGAGTGAATTGCTGAAGCTGAGTGAATTTTAACCCCTGCCAATCTGAAGTCAAAACGAATTTAATTGAAATTCACTCGGAAGTGAATTGCAGAATCTGCCTGTATATTTTCGTATATCAAAGATAACCAGTTGCCACATTTGTAGACCACTAAATACTGATGGGGCATATCCTTTGTTCGTCAAATGGGAGTCACTTTATTTGTTCTCCAACTAATTTGAACCAAAGTTTCGACTGTATAGTTTAGAANCTGATGGGGCATATCCTTTGTTCGTCAAATGGGAGTCACTTTATTTGTTCCCCAACTAATTTGAACCAAAGTTTCGACTGTATAGTTTAGAAATGAAAGAGACTAGTGTTTTAGCTTGATATATTCCTAAACACACCCTGTATCAGATATGGTCACTCCCTATTTGTGCTTATCGAATCTTACCATAAGCATTTACAACCATAAACAAGGAAGAATATATCGCAAACTTCCAAAATAAGAAGCCTAACACGCCACATATTTTGCGTTGCTTGGACGGAAGCCAGTCACTTTATTTGTCCAAAATAATTAATGGTTTTGACAACTTCCGTCGTGGAAATCCATTTAAGAATACATTACCAACATCGACCGGGGAACAACCAACAAACACAAACACAAACAACCAAAAAAAAAGTCCTTCAAATTTTAACATATTGCATTTTTTTCTTGATAAGTAACAAAGTGAATGAATTATCTTCATATAAGAAGACGTGTTATAATGTAGAAATACTATCTATGCATGTATGCATGATTATTTAATACAAACTTTAAATTAAGTGCATTCGCCAAGACATAGTAGAACAATTGAACAAAATTTCACATATGTGTGTAGCACAATACAATGCAGATTAGAAAAAATTTAAGGATTATATTTTGATAACCTACTTACTGATAGATAGATAGACATATCGTGGTTTAAAGTGCAAAACCGCGTATCAACAAAATACAAAACCGCGTATGTGAAGTTGTAGAAATTATTTTCTAGAGCGTAAAAACACTCATATTTCAAAATGGTTCTCTTTTTTATAAAGCAATCGCATTTCTGGCTAGTATATTTCAGGACGAATGGATAAGGATTGAGCCAAGAGCTTGTGTGAGCAAATCCACTTTTGGGCAGCCAATGTCAGTTACGCGGTTTTGCAGAATGACGATACGCGGTTTTGTACTTTAAACGACGATATGTATGCATATGATAAAAAATCGAAAATGTAATCAAAGATAAATTTGTATCAGCTGGGAGCACGAGCAATGTAAGATGTTTGCCAATTTGTTGCTATTTACGTTGAGTGTATTTATTTACTGTTTTCTATGTTTATGTGCCTCTGTATATTTTTTGTTGTTTATTTTTCTATGGTGTGTATTGGACGAAATTTCGTGTTTGCTTCTGGCACTGCATTTTACTTTTAAACTGATGCGCATAAAAAAGTTCAATGACTCATTATGTAGCTTACCGAGACTTTTTCGGAACAATTATAAACACTTCATATTGTTACTTGTAGACTGTATACCACGCAAAAAAGTTTCTCCAAGTTTGATCTTCTTTTTATGGAATTCGCTAGCTTTTGTTGTTTATACTTTGTTTGCGCATATTCTTTTTGGTTAATAATATTTTAATATGTAGTTGTAGTTGGAGGTATGACTCTAAAATTTTATCTGTACATACAAAATGCTCCCTTCTGAAGTAATGTGCTTGTTTAGGTCTTTTCAAAAATTATTAAACTATACACTTATATTTTTTATGGGTGCCGCAAATGTTATGGCATGAAATCAGCAAAGTATCAAGTTGTAGCATTATCCTACTGAGCAGGAGATTCTGGGTAAACAGGCTCTTCCCACTTATGATGCACTTCTGGTGTTAAGTTAATAATTTGTACATGTACTGCTTGATGTTTTTCGAATTTGGGCGGAATCGCACATAAACGGTATCTTACTTCATCGCCGGCCTGTGGCACATATTCGCCATCGACGCTGAAATGTAACAAAACAGTTAATAATATAAACGATAAGAGTAAAAATAAGAATTATGCTTACTCAGAAACGTGACAGAAAAGATCTTCACCACCAGCTTTAGGTGTAATGAACCCATGTCCTTTTGAGCGGCTGAATGATTTTACAATACCAGTTTCAATTGGATTTTCCAAAGCACGAGCAGAGCTATAAGTTTTTTTTTATGAACTATTATTATAAAAATATTTTTAAAACAAATTAAAAGATACAAGAGATGGGGCATATAAACAAATTAAAAGATACAAGAGATGGGGCATATAGTCGTTCCCACGACAGTCGGGTCTACGTAACCGGAACGACCCAGATTTATATCTGGCCAAGGACTGTCACTCCAGCAACACTCCCCAAAAAGTCTTTGGGGAATTTGTATGCTGCTACAACAACAACATGGGGCATATAATAATGGAAATCCCGCAATAATTTAATAGTTTGCTCATATATTCAAAGTTATGAATAATTGTAGAAAACTGGACAAATGTGCACGCATGTTAAAATGGAAAGAAAATAACTTACGTTGAGGCAGTGCGTGTGCGCTTAGTTATAATTGGACTGGGAAGCTGCAGCGTTAAATTGGGGCTGTGGGCGTTCTGTTGCCGATGGGCGGGCGGTTTACCAGCCGCATCTTTCTCCGGTGTATTTAGTTGAGACATAATCACTTTTGGATATTTTTCTTATTGACGAGCTAATTTGTATAATTTTGTTTCCAATTAAGTAGAGCACTAATTTATTTAGAAGGGGTGCGAGGTAGTGCGGAATGTGTCAGCTTTGGTGAAATATACAAGTCTTCGGATAGGCGGTGTTGAGGCGGGTGGGTCTGATTAAAGCCTGAGAACAGCAAATCTGGAAGAATAGAAAAATGCTCGCGTTATAGTTATTATTTACTTACTTTTAAAGCGTTAAATTGAACTGAAAACATACATTTACCAGTTTCCACAATTTATATGAAGAAATAACGAAGGAACGACACGAAATTCCAAAGTGATTTTTTGCACTGACTTTGACAATCGGCTTTGCAAATTACTTAAGTACGTTGCCATATCGAGCATAAACTGAAAAAGCTATTTTCATCCAAATTTTGCTGAAGGCTGGCCCCCATAACATGCATAACGTAGGCGCGACGATTGGCATATAACTACGTTGAATAAAAATATTCGT